AGCTGTTGTCAAACTCATGCCAGCTCAGTTCTCTCTGGAGAATGTCCATTACAATCCCTCTGGTGTCCTTTGGTACCTATTCCAAATTGACCTTCCCTTAGTTTGTTTGTCATACCCCCTTCCTTCATTATGTACATTGCATGCATCCACTGTGATTTTCTGTTGTTGCCACAATTAAATTCCTACCCCCAGCTCCATCAGATAAGTTCAATACTGTCAAGTAACTTCTGCAAATAACTTTTTCATGTGGAGTTATGCATGCCATTGTTTCTATGGATAAAGAAAACAATGCTCAGTTCTGTCTAGGGAACCATAATGTGAAGATACAATAAAGTCACACATTCTCTTTGGATTGCAGCTTTGCAGGGTGAGCAGGTTACTACCCAGGGGCTCTCTTCTGTTTCTTTTCCCACTCTCTAGAGATCTGCCACAATAATTTTATGCTCTATAGGCTGTCTGACAAAACAGTTATGTAGATATTGCTAAAGAGTTTAATCTAACCTGGCCATTGTCATTGAACTGGATTGGGAAACAAGCAGTGGTGCAGTGTTCTTGGATATGCTGTGAAGCAGCTGGCACCAACTCTTCACTTGACTCAGCTGCAGCCAGAACTAGACTGCTGACTTCTGTATCTCTTGGCACTGGAGTAATAGCACTCAGGTTGACTTCTTGCACCCTTGAACTCTCATCCTGTTCATTGTGTCTGTGAGACCAGATACAAAATGTCTTCCAAGGCCATTTGAGTAAAGAACCAGCATTCTCAATCCTAAAACTGCATATCTACAGTTGCATTACCTCTGAAAATGAGCTATGTTATTGCCTACAGTTCTGCTTCTTAAAGAGCTCTGTGAGGAATGCTAAGAAGATGGAAAAACAGCCTCTTTAGAATACACAGGTCAGTGAAGATATGTGGGGAAAAAAATTAATGGAGAAGTGAGACAAAGAGGGATTAATGAAATGGAAAGTGTGGTGAAATACCAGAACTGCAGCACATCTGACAGATAAGGAACCTAAATTACACACACTTTCTACAGAGAAGTTAAAACTTTCGTACTTCAAATATTTGCTTTAGACAATCCTTTTTGGTAAAATAGCAAATTTCTTGAGCCGTCTTTTTTGTAGCTGAAAGAGATGTTTAATTCCACTGACACTCTGCTGAAAAATGTCAGCAAGGCAGTCAGATATCACATCAATAGATTGACCTTCATGCTTGAAATCTTGTCTGTCCTTCCCAGCTCTATCATTCCATCTCATAAGGGGTATCACTTCATTCCAGGAGTGCTGCCTTGCTCACCACAGTGAACAGCAACATTACTGCCACAGCTTAAATAATATCTACTTTGACAGGGTTGTAAGATCTTCTCCAGTGTCAGCTGGAGTATTCCAGTAGATACTACATCTCAAAAATCTTTGGGAATAATTTGTGTTAATTCTTGGGCAAACATATCAGAGAAACTGTAACTTCTTACAAAGCAGAGCATTTACAAATTATCTATTTCCCAGTGGTTGGGGTGCTGGAAGGCTTGATACAATGATTGCCACCTATAGGCTCAAGTTTGAAGATGCAAGGATGTTATGCTGTTGCTTTTGCAGCACCTAGTAGGGAGAGAAAAACTTTGCTGATTGATCTAGTAAATGTGCTACAGTACCACATACAATGATAAAATTTATTAACAGCTCAACAAAACACTGAGTTTATCAATTGTGTTCTCAATTGTAATAACTTGGCTGCTTTGGTATGTAGATACAACTTTTTGAACATCATTTTGGAAAATATTAATAGGGATGGTGAAATGTGTTTCACATCACATCCCATTTAAAGGTGTAACATCTGTTTTCACGTGGAGTTTCAGATTTAGCATTATGGACAGCCACAGTTAATCTATTTAATTGCTCAAATATACTGACAAGTAAACTGACAAGTCAGGGATAAACCCCCTTCTGTTTAACTAAGGGTTGTTAGTTTGTGCCTGTTTCACCATATGAAAATGAACTTGGCTTTTTCTTTTGAACTCTGTCTTTAGAAGTTCAGGGTGGGGAAGTACAGTGTTTATTCAAGAAAGCTGTGAATCTATGTACCTCAGCCAGATCATCACTTTGCAACATTGACAGGTAGTTAACAAAACAAATGGCTTAGACAGCAAGGCAGGAGCTGGGTTCTGTAGTTTCTTCTCAATGACCAGACCTGTCTAATGATAGAATCTGTTAGCATTGTGAAAGAGACGTCTTTGTCCTTCAGATTTTTTTTTTTTTCAAACATGAAGTATGGAGGAAATTCAAATACATGGTACTTGTGGTAGCAAGTGTTCAACTGGATGACTTTAATAAAAGGTGTGCGATCTTTTACTCACGAGTATTCCTTGTTAACAAGTGTCTCTCTGGGCAAAATCTCTTCTGTTTTGTATATCTGAGGAAGATTTTAAGAGATTAGGCCCAAATTACTGGTGGGAAAAATAAGCCTAAGGAAACTGTTTGCTTGTAGCATATGAGAAAATATATTGCTGAGTTGCTCCCAGACCAAAATCCTCATGCAGTGCTGCTGGGACAATTCAAATGCTTGGAGTCTTATGAGGAGTGTTTTTATGAAGGGTTTGTAATGTCTAAGTATTATTCAGCATATAATTTCTCTTGGTAGTTACATAGCAGTGCTCATGACTATGAGTTGTATAGAGCCACAATGCCTTTATTTACTTTCTAATCATAACAGGAAGTGAGAAATCAATATAAATTACTTTGGGAGTACAAATTTCTCAAGCAATATTAAAATTACATGTGGGTACTACGCAGTTTCATGTTTTGGAAGGTGAATTTTATAAAACAGCAGAAAGGATTGGGAAGTTTGGGTCTAGGATTAGTCTGCTCTGAAAGCTGACCCTCCCAAACCATATGAAAATGAGTTTGTCCTCCCAGAGACTGGGAAAATCCAGGCAGCTGGAGATGACACTGGCCAAACCCTAAACTGTTGCCTTCACAAAGTGCCATACCCATACACTAATGAAATAAAATAAATCCAGGAAGAACTTCAATTTTTAGCTAGTTATGATTCACTCAACAGACAAATAGATAAATTCATCACGTGGGTTAATTATTTGCATAGCCAATATAAATCTCAAAGGTTTAAAGAAATACAAGTGTTTTGACTGGAGATTTTCCATCCTCAGACAACTGGACATATCAAGTGTAACTGTTAGGACAGGTGTGTGCATACACATCTCTCTCTCTTTCTCTCTTTCTCTTTTAGTGAATTCCATGTAGTTATTTTCTCTTCATTAGAATAATAGCAACAGGAAGAAGCATTTCCTACATTTTATCCTCTCTGCTTTTCTCTTCTATTTTTTTTCCAAAGTGAGAGGAGAAAGGAAAGAGAGAAATAGGAGTATAAAACCTAAATGTCAGAATAATTTTTAATATGAATTGTAAATGAATTATTAAAAAGAAATGAACTATTTCCTTTTACATTAGAATAGTTTTGAAAATTTCAAAATCCATTTGAAGTATTTTTTTAATGGATTTTTTAATGCATTCTTTAACTGTCCTTTAAAACTTTTTGAAACTCTGAGTGACAAGAATGAGTGTCAAGTTATTCTATGTTTTCTTACCATTTCACATCAGGTGGGATAACTCACAATCAGGCATTCCAGAAATTATTATGGCTTTCTGTGTTTCGGATCTTGAGTGACTATTTCGAAGTATCTTGCAGGGTCCTGATTTTTAGAAAATGTATAATGCACACTTCCTAAGAACCTGGTTTGTTTTAATGATCATGGTTGAAAACTTGACCAGAAGATTGAAAATTTTTTATCAGAACATAAACTCCTCCCACTGGAGGATTTTTATTGATGCTCCTTCTCAGTGTGTTTGAAATGCCTGAAGTTAATCCATACATTCCACCTACAAGCCACGTAAATTGCAAAGGAAAACAGTGATTCCATTTGCAGGCCTTTGTCCTCTCATGATATTTTTGATTAAAGGTTATTGTGGTTTAGCAGAACACTGGCAGATCCAAAGGTAACCTGGTCATAGTACAAAAATCCTGATAAAGCCTCATGATTAATAGCATGAGGTATTTTTGTGTATAGAATGATGTGAGTACAGAGAATTCAAAAGAAAAACAAAAGTTTCATAAAAAGCACTTAGCATATATGGATAGAATTCATGCAGGTGCAGCTATACAAGCAAAATTCAAATAGAGGGTAGGTAAACACTGCTGTTTTGCCTGTAGCAGGTTGGATTCCGTATGCCAGCTGCAGTTTATGTGGGCTTCTTTTTTTTTGTTAAAAAGTACTAAAGTAATAGATAACTTCTGTTGCATCAAGGAGATCGCATTTCGATGGGGAAATGAGGAAGAATATCTAGTAGACTGCATCTCTACACTCCAAAAGTACTTAATTTTGTGTTAATATGAAATAAGGAAGAGAAAATATGAAGATGTTTCAGTGGTTAACTTGGATCAAATGGATATGAGGATACCAGAAAAAGACCTGGTACATTTGCTTTTAACTTTTTAGCATGTGTAATGTGATGATACTGGATGAAATTTTGTGGTTTTGTTCATATGTCGCTTGACCACATTCTGGACTGTCAGTGTTAAGTCAATTTTTTTGAGTTTTCATTACAACCCCAGACGAAAAAAGCTTAAGAAAAATGTGAACTAGTTTCCAAAATGGCTGTTCTTGGGCATATAGCTTTTAAGTAACTGTAATTGCCCTGTTTTGATATGATGCCTCTCAAATCAGTAGTCTCTGATTATTACTACTCAACAGATTTCTGTAAGAGTTTGGAGGGTATTTTTTTAACCTTTGTGAAGGATTATTTATTACCTGAGCTATCAGGACATGGGAAAAAAGCAGAGTGAATAAGCTATTTGTTAATCATCTCAATAGCATGGGAATTTAAACAAATGTTACATATGCTTGCCAGCAAATGGTCAGCTTCTGAAGCATGTGTTTAGCCAGTGAACTTCTGGGTCTCTGGTGATATTCTTTCATGTGCTTGCTGAGGACATGACTATGCCAGCATTTCTTCTGAAGATGTTAACTTAAAAGCAGCATGACACCCAAGAGAAGTTGTCAACACTGCAATTGCAACTATTCTTCATTATTCCAGTGACATAAAAAAAAATAACTTATTTCATGAGAAGAAATGAGAGTGTTAGAGGATATCAATCTGCATCACATCACGGCCTTGTTCCCGTGGTACATGAATTTCACAGAAAGTGATGCTCAGCTGCATCCTGGTTTTGAAGAGAACACTTTGTGCTTCTGGTTTTGCATCCTGTTATGAAACAAACTAGTTTTGAATAGGGAGAGGCAACCAAGGTTGGCTTTGTTGCTTTACTTCTTATAATGCAATTAGAATGCCATATCTCAGTGTGCCAGGGAAGGACTGGAGAGTTGGGTTTGGAAACACTCTGCTTCACTGTTATCTCTGAGGAATAGTAACTTCAGTGCCAGCAGGAGAGCAACGCAGTGATCTGAAGCAACTTCTGTTATTTGTTTTCTGATGTAGCCTCCCCTGTCATTGCAGCCTTCCCCCAACAAGGTACAATATTCCATAGCCAACAGCACAAGCTGAAGCCCCATGAAAATTTCAGCTGAGTCTTTGGAAGCTTGTGTAATGCCCCGGGCCCCCACCTCACATCTGTCCTCTCACAATTTTGTTGCTGTAGTGCCAGACTGGTTTGATGTGAGCTGCTCTTGGCAGGTAACCACAGTGCAGTCAGTCATTGCTGTTGCAGGGCAGACATGTCGTGGTTGGACAGCATGGAAAGGTATCCAAAGTAATCTTGAAATCCAGCAGTGGCTGTGTCAATACCTGTGTGCTCCTTGACCTCAAACAGTATATAGCTAGTAAATGACTCTACAAAACTGTTTCAAAGATTGATGTGAATAGCAGGGTAAAGACTCTTTCCATAGAGAAAAATAATTTTTTTTCAGGTTTTATGTTAAAAATGCTTGAAAAATGCTGAAAGTGTTTGATGTCAAAGAATAGTTACCGCAACTGTAACTGTGGTAAAGACTGGAAAGCAGGACCATGTCTATCACCAAAATGAAAAATGAAACTAGAAACTGTTATTCATGACTGGTATTTTGAATAGTTCTGAATCCTGGGTTTCCCATTCCTTTCTGAAGACCCTTTAGAATAGAGTAGGAGTAAAATTTATGCATTTCTTTAAAAAGGACTCTCGAAAACCTACACATATCCTGGAGAATGGCAAGTTGAACCTCATTTCTCTTTGTAGGTTTTGTATGTTTTTTTGAAAATAGTCTGAGTGGAATATTATTAGTATCAACTTTACAGAATAGCTGAAGAGCAATGAGCTAATAGGGTGATATTTCCTACTGTGTTGTGTAAAGATTCTCCCATAAGCTTCTTTTTTTCTGATGTTTATCCCACCAAAAGTAAATAGCATACCTGGAGGGCAGTGCTGAGATGACATGTGCTTGGGCTGCTGGCTACACCAAACACAGCTGTTGGTGTTTGCAGACAACTTGGCCACACACCTCTGTTCAGCATGGAGTCTGGAGGTGATGAGAAACTGCTGAGATCCCTGCTGAGGAACAGAAGAAAGAAGCATCTTCTCCTTCGCAGCTTTTATCTAAAAACAAGTCAATCAATATGCTAAACACTGATAGGAAAATACAGTCACTGAGACTGATGTTCTGAGGAGGTCTGGAAGGCACCATTTGTCCACAGCAAAACTTTGTCAAGGAAAAAATTATCTTTTGAAGGGATGAAAGGAGTAAGAAGCTGAAAATATGTCTTTGCCTGAGGGGTAAGAGATAGAAAATACCGATGGCTGCAGAAAAGCACATCCCCACTGACTCTTTCCAATCTCTCTACCACAGTTAGCAAAGCAAGCAGACAAGAATGGCTAGAGAAATTGTTCTTCAAATGGTCACTGGAATTATCCTCTTTTGGAACACAATGAAATGAATCCACCAGTCTTACCAATTTTTATTTTTTTTTTTATAATGCTTCTTGATCTGAATGGCTTCATAAACCCACACATTTGTGCAGTAGCTCTCATTTGGGGTAAAAGCGGTACCGAATACTTTGCAGGGACTGTGTTTGCAACATGTTAGTGCTGTACCTAAAAGGCCAAAGTGATAGAGCAGTCAAAGCTGTTGTTTGGCCAGTATGGATGATTTCCATCATTACAGACCGATTCTTTCATTCTCTGTCATAATCTGTTATGTCATAAGAATTAATTAATGCACATTTTAACCTTAACCTAACTAAATAATTAATAACTAATTGTTCTCAAAATTGTCCATTTAGGCTGCACATGTAATACTTTCTGATTTATGATTGATCCTTTTTTTATTCTCACTTTTGTTCCTGCTGACTATTACCAATCCATTTTCTTTAATTCTTATTGAGCTTGAGTTGATATGAACAAATTTTGAAAAACAGTGATCGAGAGACCTCTTTACTGAGAGGCAATAGCTATTATAGATTCTATTGATTAACAGGTATAATTAAGGTTGGTTTTAATTTTTCTGCACTGCCTTGCACTCATCCACACAAAATTTCTCCTGTTATTGTCATGTCACAAACAGTTTTTTACAGCTCTTCTTAGTTATTTTTCATTTTGTTCATGCTGAATTCTGTGCCTTCTTGCCCTTCTCTGCATCCTTTAGGAGTAGGTTGAATAGTACTGGTCCCAACTGTTTGGGACCAACTTCTGCTACAACTTGTGGTGCAAAATGACCATTTAATATCTACTTTTTGCTTGCTCACTTTTAAAGGAAAGGATCTTTTATCTTTTTACATGACAGCTGAGAGTCCTGAGAAATCTTTTCTAGTACCTTGTGTAAAGTTCTTGATTTGATTTCTATTTACAAGAGTCAGCTCGTACTCCCTTCTATCATTTTTATCTGTCCACACCATTCTGTTTTCTCTTACAGAGTCAAATCCCTTGCTCAGCATGGAAAAAAACCCTTACTAATCTGTAGCTGTTCAGTTTTATCCTCTACAATCTTAAAAGCCAACCGGCAATACCACTTTAATCCTTGGGGAGATGTCTCTCCATCATGCTTCCTCTCCTGGAGAGAAGTGACTTTCAGGATAGGTAAGCAAGGACAGGACGGAAATAGTTAAATATCAAGCAGTTTATCTGGTCCTATAGGAAGATGATCTCTGGGGTTTCCTTTTTATGTGGGATCCAGTGTGTTCAGTTGAGCTCCACATACTTAAAGCATTAGTGATGGTACTATCTCCCGAGGAGACTATGCTCTTAGTTTACTACTGTGTTCATTAGTTTGAGACTGCTTATTCGTACTCAAAGTTACATCTATGTCCATTTATATCATCAACTGAGGGAGCGTGAATGAGAGTAATTAGAAAAAGAGAAGTGACTATCAGAAGTTCATACTTGAGGTTCCCTTAAGTGGGGCAAGAAGCTGTCATTGCTTTTTGCTTCTGCTCCTGAGGTAAACCTTGTGATTATGAGTTCTGTAGAAAATGACTTAATTTGTGGGACAAAACTCTCCAACCATCCTTTGTCATGTGCCAGCATTACAGGGCTACTTTTCACATAGAAACTTAAATTGTGACCTGATGAGTTTTTTTAAGGTGGGAAGCTGATTTAAGTTATTTGTCTTGTCAGCTCTGCCCTTCCCTCCCTGCCTCCCCCCACAGCAAACTGCCTCCTCAGTCAGTCCTGCACGCATTTGTTAGGGGCATGTTAAGCAAAAGTTGAAGTTACTGTCTTGTGTAGGTGCTCATCATTTACTTATTCTGCCTCAGGAGAAGGAGGTTCCTTTTGCAACTTCCTGACACTGATTCCTTATTAACAAGTTTTCTACATATAAAAATCATGGAAGAGATTATGAGATCCGAGAAAACAAATACTCTGCGTGGGTTCCTGCTTTGCGAATCAGACTTAATTGAGTGATTTTTAGCATAGACCCAACACTGCACTGCCACAGTGTTGGGAAACATGAGTAGGAATCCAGGGTTCATTTCTACAGAAAGTTATTTCAGTGTTAAAGCCTTTAGTGTGCTGCTGCTTCTGTTCATTCCTTTAAGATCCTCTAAGCAATTAAAAATTACAAAATCAAGTCTCTTTAAACCTGAAACATGTTTTAAAAATCCACTGAAACAAGCAGTATCCCTATTAGAAATTTCAGTCTTTAGGATATAAAATGAAAGTCAGTGGATACTAACACTGCCTCCATCTAAAGGTGCAGCAGTGGTTTTGTGGGTTCATGCTCTACCTGTTGTCTATTGCATTACGTAAAAAATTATTTGCTTTGCATTTGGTTGCAGCAGTTTGACATCAGACTGTGTTCTCACTTCCATGTTTGTGTTTCAGGTAAAGATGGAATATGGAAGCAGTCAAGTTTTGCAGTATGTTTGTGTCATAGTGTCAAAATAGGAGAGGAATGTTCCTCCCCAGCTGTTGTATCACAAAAACTGTGCATCTGGCTGCTCTGCTACATATTTTGAAAGCCCTTCAGTCCCCACCTATGGGGTGCACAGCTCACCCTTCCTTCACAGCTCCCTGGAACACCCACTGTGTTAATCCATTTTCTTGACCAGGGCATTCACACACTCTTGGATCTGGACCAGATGCTGATGGGTGAGTCACCACATCAACAGATCCTGCTCTTCAACCAGCAGCTGCTCAGGAGTAAAGGAGGGAATAAAAGAACCCACAGCATAAAAGCACAGAAAGGGAAGACTTTAAGAAGGGGAAGACCTGAACCAGTAGTATCAGGAAAGTATCCTGGAGATTTGTTAAATGGCTGAGTAGTCTCCCTAGTGAGCTGGTGAAGGATCTATTTGATCTATGTCTTAGGTTGGTTAAAAATGCAATGGCAGGCTCATAGATGCTGTGACCAGATAGATCTTGTTTCTCTTTTTTCCTTGGCCACCAGCTTTTAAAAGGAACAGTGTTTGCAAATGTTGGGCTTTTCCTCCTCCTCCTAAACCACATGTTTGTTTGATACCTCCCTCTAACTGAATAAGATTCTTGCATGCTGAAAAATAGTTCAGAACTCACTGAAGATCTTAAAGTATATTATTTGGTTGGACACTTTAAAGAAGTTCTTCTGTGATGAAATTATTATAGAATGCTTATCAGAGCCTAGAGGAATGCAGCTGAGGGGGTTTAGTTTGCCCTGTTACTATGGCTATGCCATCTGTATGACATAGAACCACTTTAGTGGTGAATACTTGCTCTTAGCAAGAAAAGAGTACAGAGAAATCCTGATTATAAGACCACCACAATCTAATCTGTCTCCTTTCCCTAAGTTTGTGGTTAAAATCTGTTGGCATATGGCCCACAATATATTGCCTCTCTTACAGCAGAGCAAAACTATGCAGAAGTATTTCCTTTAACAATCAAAGCTTCAGTACAAAAGTAGTGACCCAAATTAACTGTTTGGAAGAAAAAGGTTAAAGGTGTTTTAAAAAAGCATTCCTGACCAAACTGAAATAAATCAGCAAACTTCACCCACACATCCTCCAAACCTGCAATCAGCAATAATTTCATAGAAATAAAACAAATGGATTGCCACATTCCTTCATGTCTATTACACTTCTGTCTTCATTGCAGAAATTACTCAGAAATGAAAAGCTGGAAGGAAACTTGGCTGTTGGTAATAGTTTTATCACTTGTACTACAGCAAACATGCTCTCTACAGAAATTTCTAAGATGCACTGTTTCTGGTTCTACTAAGTATTTCAAAATTCTTCATATAAAAGCTCTAAAGCATTTTCTGTACATAACAGTAATGAACTAGTCCTTTGGATAAGTGCATTAGAACTACAATTCAGTTATGCCTAACAAATTTTAGCCCCCATTTAAGAAAGGAGCCTGTTGTTTAATAGAAGCACTTTAACATGCATGTAAGCTGTGGTTTTGATAAGGTTAAGGTGCTCTCTGGAATTGGGGCTTACCTTTAAAATAAACTATTGAATAGAGTACACCAATGTTTTTATTTTCAAAGCAAATAAAAACATTTATTAATTTGGGAGAGACATTGAGACATGTTCTTCTCACTCATAAAAAGCACAAACTTTATTATACCAGTCAAAAACACAGACAATGACAATGTAAATATAAATATAGAAATGCAACATTTCAGCTTAACATTGTAGAGACAGTTTGACACTCAGGCATCTTTGTGCTCCATGCCAGTGCTACCTTCCTGTAAATAATTTCTCTGAGCAGCAAATTATTAACATTGTCTTTTGACTCTTAGTGCAGAAAGAATGGCTGACAATGACCAATAGGATAATGTGGTAATTCCCAAAAGAAGCAGAACCAAGGAAAAGTTAGTTATTCAGTGCTGATTCTGATTTGTGCTCTGGAAATGGGAAGATGGTAGAAGAGGGAAGTAGACTTTGTCCCCTTTTCTCCACTTCTACTGGTACTGTGCATCCCTCTTCTTACCAAAGGCTCAAGGTGGGAAAGGTGCTGCTGTTGGCAGGAAGGGAGAGTGATAATCTGCAATTCATGTCCCTAAAAAGAGCATGAGGGAAGGAAAGCTGAGCAGGCCAATATCTTGGGGACACTACCAGGAAAAGGCCCCAGGGGAAGGTAAGGTGAGAGTGGCTGGGAGTAGAGACATTTCTCACAGAACTGAAACCTTGCTCTGTCTTTGACACCTATCAGCATTTCTCTGTATGGTTTATTAGCACTGCGATTCTTAGTAATACCATGATCTTTTCTTCTGTGAAAATCATAGATGCATCAAATGGCATCTACATGAAAGCATTCACTTTCCTAAATTGAAACCTGATATATGTTGCAGTAAGGAAAGAATTTGATTATTACTGATTTTACTACTTTAGTATCTGGGTTCTCCTGAGAGAAGTTTAAACCTTAATTACATTTCAATTTGATATAAAGGAATAACTTTTGAGAAAAAGTTATAATTTCAAAAGTTGCTATAAGGAGTTCTCAGAACTGAAGCTACTTTGCTTTTGATCAAACATATCCCTGGTATAAATTGCTTCAATATATACTGACAAGTATTGCCCAGTATGTCAGCCATACTTGGAATATTGAGGAATGTGGTAATGTGGTGTTATTTGACACTGTGACCTTTGCTCAGTCGTAAATACACATGGCACAATGGATATCACATTTTACACAACACAATTAAAACTGTTTTAATTCTTTAAAAACTTAACAGTAAATTAAATGTGGTTTCCCTCTCTCTCCCTCATCTCCCCACTACATACAATACAGAGCACAGAGCTTAAAATCTCCAGCTGTTTATGTTCTGAAAAAGGCACATCAGTCAGAAGGCAGCAGGGTTTTGGCATTTCCCTTTTATTAATATACCTTTTATGGGGAGGAACAGCAGCTGTAACTGAAAAAAACCCATGTGAAAGAGAAATGATAAAGAGAGGGATAGATGGCAACACTAAAGAGACAGAGGTGGAACAACTGAAGGAAGCACATACACTCAAACAGCATCCCTTTAGGTATTCTCCACTTTCACCTTAGTGAGTCTTTTTCTTAGAGTCTTCCCTGCATTTCCCCAAGATTTCATCAGTACTGTTGACACAAAGCCAACTAAGTGTAAACCATCCCTTGCCCCCCAAAAATAAAAGCAAAATTCACAACAGGTGCAGTGACACAAAGGCACCATTCTTGATAAAAGGCAGTACCTGAAACTTTGGCTGTAAAATATAAACATAACCAAAATAATTCTGGAATACAGTTGTGAAATGAGGTGATACTCAAGCTCATAAAAGTCCTGCAGGATTCATATCCTTTAGACAATTTTTATCTCTCTGTATAGAAAGAACAGAGTCAGTGTGAGTGTGCTCTGCTTTTAGTGCTTATTTTACACAGGCAGTCAATGTCAATGCAGCACCAAGGATGAGAAGTGCTGTAATATCTTAATTAATGAATGCTGTAAATATCTTGTGTTGCAACAGAGGTCACATAATGGAAACAAAAATCCAGTAAATATGCTGTTTCATACATATAACATAGAATAAATTCTTCTGTCTTACTTCACTATTACCAGCTCTGACTCCCAGCATTGTCCATGTTTTGCACTGTGACAATTAATTGTTCCAAGTCAAACCAAACCTGTGTTGGAACCCTTTATATCTTTATTAAGCCATTGAAAACTTCTTTCCAAAGATTTTCACTTCCTTCTGCCTTCTGTGGCTGCCTTACAGGTGAAAATACCAAAGCACAACAAGAGATATTAGCTGTAGTCTTTCACACAGGTAGGACCTAGATACTCATGCTACTGGAAACTGATTATCTGGGCTAGAATTTCAGTGACTTTTCAAGTGTTGTAGTCAGCTGTAGTTAACAAAGTCATTTGAGATTCATCTATGCTTTATTTTTATGATGCAGCAGTGGTGCTTAGGTTCTTGCAAATCAGTGCATTACTGTTGCAGGTTCACTCCTATCACCAATCTGCCTGTTACTACACAGAGATAAATCAAATCTTGAATATCTGTTTTCTTCAGTGGCATGTGACTTATCATATCCACACTATATCAGCTGTGTTTACCTACAAAGATACATGCAGAATATGTCCTTACCTTCTCAGGGACTGATGCTTTTGGTAGGCTGAATTTCTTGATGCTTAGAACAGGTAGGAGTCTTCTATCAAACAGTCATTTAATCTTCTCCTTTCCTTCATATTACTAAGTTCTGCACCACTCTGCCCATCCACAGATCTCAAAGGAGAGTAATTTTTGCCTTTTCCTAGTTGTTTCTTCCTTCTTGGGTTGTCTCACTTCCCTGAGACTCCAAACTCTTTTCTTATCTGACCTTCTTCTTAACTCAAAAGTATGAAAGAAAAGAAATACTCAAGTCTCTACAGCTGTCAGTTTTGCCCCATTATGGGCTTTAAAACCCCCCCAAACTTACACATTGGCATTACCTTCCTCTTGTGAGGCTGACTTCTGCTGGTGGTAGGAAAAGGTTGAAATTATAGTAATAATTTATGACCAGTACCTTTAGCCTATGATGTTTATTCCTTTCAATGAGAGAAGTTGACTTATTACAGACATAGATAAGGATTTTGATTCCATTAAATGTACTTTGTGTGAGTACCGTGGAGAACATAAAAATGGAGATCTTTCAAACTTCAAAATATAACAGTTTTTTCCATTTGTCCTTTGGATGAGATGTAATGTCAAGACATTACAGGGTGTTCAAAATATACATGGTAGTCATTATATCTTCTGATCTTACTGTGCAGTGTTGATGTGCAGCAGTCCACAATAGCTCTGCTTCTGCCCTAGTTGGTTTCCTTCATCTCTGAATGGGATGAATTTAAATGTATGACCCAAGTCTGGAAGTCTTAAAGCAGCT